GTAATATATACAAAAAAGAATAGTTTTGTCGAAGTATCTAAAAGTTGAAAAGATAAACTTATTCAGATTTAAAAATATAATTTTGTTGGACCATCAAAGTAATTATATCAGACCCTCAAGTTGGTTGCTAGAAAATGAAAACTTCGCGACATCCTACATTGGCCGTCCTACATAATTGTTTCGATGATGATTTTCCAACAGAATTATTTTCGGATCTGTATCTAGCTCAATTTTTCGATACTCTTTGGAGCAAGACTTACTCTTTCCGTGTATTAACAATTTTACGCGAACCTATAAGATCCTAGAGTGTTGGTACACATTTTCGTGCCGCAGAGATTTGGCGTTCTTTGGCACTCGTCTACGTCCATGCATTTGCCGCCAGAACCGGGCTCGAAGCCGAGCGGGCAGTTCGCTGAAGAACCAGTTATCGGACGACCAGTCATCAACGACGTCGGTGTCGTCGTCGTCGTCGTCGTCGTCGTCGTAATCGTCGTGATTCTCGGCGTCGTCATTGGCGACGTACGCGACTGCGGAGTCGGTATACGCGGTGTGCGATCGCAGCGGTACGAACCCAGGGTGTTTCTACACTGATATCCGGACCCGCAGTCGTGGGTGCCCAGAACACACTCGTCGTCGTCTTCGCAGATCTCCGTTGCAGCGTTCAACGTATAGCCGGTGCCGCAAGGCAAAAATCGCGTACACGTATAGCTGCCGATTGTGTTGTCGCATCGCTGCGTCGGCAGGCAGTCGTTCTCCTTCGATGGAAAATATTAAGATCAACGGCGAGAAGTTCCGCCGTTGAAGTTGAGATGAGACAACGTAGACTTTACAGGGCTTAGGGGTTGCGCTTTAGTCTGTCCGATTTACGCCCACAAAAGCTGATCTCGTTCTTTTTCGTTTGGCAAAAACAGCAAGGATGAAATGAGCTCCAGTTGAGCGTTGTGAGCGTAACTCGGATTGCAACTTTAGGGTGCTGGCTTCCAGCAAGGACACAGTCAGACCCAGTGTAACACCCAGTGAATCGTTACATCCTTGTTGTTTGCCTACGTTAAACAAGGACGGAACGATTCACTGCATTACACAGTGTCCTTAGTGAAAGGCACCCTTAATCTTCGTTGGCTCGACGTACGAGATGTCATAATATTTTTGTATCTTTTTTTTTTTTTAAATTAACGCCATAAATGTCAGATCGCGCGTGATAAGCATTACGCGAATGTCGGAGAGTCCCGTCATCGTTATCCTTGTCGTTTACCTGTAACTGACACTCGTTGATATCGACGCAGGCCTGTGTGAGATTATCACGCCTGAAACCGGTCTTACAGGTGCACGTATAGCTGCCTACGGTGTTGACGCACTCCTCATTGCTGCTGCAGGCATCCTCCAACTCTCTGCACTCGTTGACGTCGACGCAGCCGCGATTCCTCACGAATCTGGTGCCGCGTATACACTTCTCGTTCATCGGAGCCGGCATCGGTGTCGTAGTCGGTTTTCTGGTCATTGGAACAGGTGGCATCGAACAACTGTAACCACCTGGTTGATTGTAGCAGAGCTTGTCCCCGCACGTGTCCAACTTCTCCGCGCATTCATCGATGTCTATAATTTCAAATAAAGTATTTCGCATGGCAAAGGTCATAAATATTTTTCCCTCTGAATTAAAATCGTTGGTTTTTTTTTCCAATTAAAGCATTAAGACAACAATTACATGTTCAAATAGGAAAGCATTATTATTTTCTTGCAAAACATACCCTGACATTTAAGCCTTCCAAAATTATACCTCTGTTAAAAGCATTGTTGAAAGCAACTGAAATAATGTAGGATGACGACATATATTGTAAAACACGAACATATTTCGATGCAATAAGAATTTGCGATGCAAACAATCGTAAATGACATTTGTGATTAATCGTGCGTGTGTCGAAAGACAATAAGAATAATATAATTTACCAGTGCATTGTTCGCGAAGAACTTATCGAACATGTCAATAATTCAATCTGAGCTTGATAAGTTCTATATCGTTTTGACGAATTCTGAAAATACGAAAAATATCTGAAATCGTTGTTAATACAGTTTATGTACACTATTCTTTATACACTAAAAAGAATAGAACAGTTTATGCTGTAAATTAAAAAGAATAGAATTAGATGTAATTGGGAAAAATAGAAGAGAATATAAAACAGGCAAAAATACAAATATCTAACATTTCTACAATTTATAAAAGCAACTCATTAATTTTTAAAATAAAACTATAAAAATTACACTAATTTACAGTAAAACAATTATTGCAAACCGGACTATTTCTTACAGATTTTTTTATGCTGAAAACGATACCGCGATAATCCAAAAAATTCCAGCATGTCAGGTTTTTAAGATAATTGAAGTTTAATGTCGAAATAATGACTTTTTTAATAATTTGATAATATTTGATATACTTTTGAAAAGAAGGTTAACATTATATTGAAATTCCGATTAATAGTCATGAACGTATTGTTCTTTATAAAATAATGCATTTTCTTTTTATCTCGATATCTTATTTTTTAGTCGTTATAAAGGATTTAAATATAAGATCTTTCTTAGAAAAATTTTGTACTTGGATCCTTCATAACAATATTGAAATAAAAAGATACATTTTGTAGGGAATGAACAATGCAACAAAAAATGTCAAGTAACGTAGAAGAAGCATTTTTTGCATATTAATTATTTCAGAAAATAATTAATATCTAACGTGCTAGTGAGATTTAACTAGATGCATCGTTTTCAGCGTCCAAAAAAAGACCTATAAATACCTTTTATCCAATTCAAAGTAATTAAAAAAATTCTTCCGTAAACTAGTGTTATATGTACCTGTACATCTGCGTAAACTAGGATGATACCGATAGCCGGAAGGACAAGCTGGTCGTTGACGTTGACGAGTAGGAGGAGGTCTCTCGCATCTGCATGATATATATATCATTGAATAATTTTTAACTATTTTTTTTTTCCATTATATTTACCTAATATAGAATTCTTGGTAGAACGTTTAATAGATTTTTTTTAATAGACAAAAAATTTCGCGCACCTGTAGGTACCCGGCAGATTGACGCATCTCTCGGAAAATCTCGCGTCACAGTTGTACTGCCCGGTTAGACACTCATCGATGTCCTCGCATCGTCGAGCGCCCAAAGAATACTCATATCCAGACGGGCAAGAGGGCAGTCTGGTCAAACACTCGAAGCCACCTTCTTTATTTACGCAATACTGATGCAAGTTAAGCCGACAGTTATGCAAGTTCTCGGAGCACTCGTTGATATCAAGACAGGTGCCGTTGAAGGCTCGTCTGTAGCCACGACTGCAGGGCGGTATTAACTCGCAAACAAAGGACCCGTTAGTGTTGACGCATCTGCGGAATCAACGTTTCCGGATTTTTGTAAATTTTCAATTATTAACTCGTCGGGAAATAATGGAAAGGACAAAATTACGTCAGTCGTTACATCATTAGATATCGTGGAAAGACGAATACACGATATCAGATGCGTCACTACACATAATTGAAGATGCACACCTATGCGTACTCTGAGGACAATCGTGACCGCCTAACAAACACTCGTCCACGTCTTGACAGCTCTTCGTCGTCGTGCTAAAGTACCAGCCGGTGCTACAAAGGGGCGAACAGTCATAGCCCCCTGGAGTATTCATGCATTTCTCATGATCCCTACATCCAGGACCGACCACGCACTCGTCTATGTCCACGCAGTAGCCTGTATTTGCGTCTCTCTTGTATCCCAATCTACAGGGTTCCGTGGACCAGTAACGATCCGTGCTCTGGAATATTATACAACACGAGTTGGATTAAAATAACAACTCTCTACGAGTCATCATCGCGGAGAGAAAAATTGTTGAGGTAAAATAATTTTTATCCTACAAGACTGTGAAAAATATTCTGGCAATTTTGGAGTAAGTAAAAATATCGAAGATGTGAGGAAAAGTACATTACAATTGTAATGTATTTTTTACCTTATTTAAAGTAAATCCATTTAAATAATTATTATAAATAACAATAAATAAAGGGCAAAGTGAAAGTCAACGCGTTTCTTTAAAAAAGTCATATAATTAGAAGAATAAATTACAAATAGAGAAAAGTAAAATTAAAGAAAATGATTATTATGTCATGGTAAAGTAAATCATATACTATTTTCAAGATTGTAAGCAACTCTCGAGACTTTTTACATATACTTATATCTTTACCGCACAGTAGAGCAAAATTGTCAGTGCTAAGGCAAAAAATATAACTTGTCGATAAAGTAATTCTATTGAGACGTATGATAATCTGTAGATTTACTTTGTAAAATATAAAAAGTACCTCGCAGTATAGTTATACGACGATTGTCCGTTTATCAGAAAAATAAAATAAACTTTACAAAAGTATAAGGCTGTCCGTCCTTCTATATAAACCTGTCAATTTCATAAAATTTCCTAGAATTTTAGCGTACATTACTCTACATTTTTCTCCGTGATCAATATGCATATCATTTTTCTCAAGATTGACGTAATCAGTAACTTACAAAACTACTTCTAGGGACCTGTACTTTGTTGTAGCGCGAATCAACGAAAGGTCTTCTTGTTGTCGTGCTGCTTCTAGTCGTCGTCTCGATTCTGGTAGTAGTGGTTCGCGTTCCGCAAACGTAGGAACCGTTTGTATTAATACAATATTGAGTCAACCTATTGCAGGCGTGCAAACCTAGCAAGCATTCATTAATATCTTCGCAATGTTCCTTGACCTCGTTCGCAGGTCGAGAATTGTTGCGCAGTCGAAAACCAGGTGGACAAATTGGAGAACATCGGTAATCACCTTCCGTGTTCACGCAACGCTCGCTTATACCACAAATCGCTATTCCATTGGCACATTCGTCAACATCTATGACACACACAAATTATCCAAATTTCCATAAATTACAAAAGATTATTCGATGTAAAAATAAGAAATAATTACCGATGCAACGGTCAGATTTCTCATCGAGAAAGTAACCATCGCCACAATCCTCGATTTCATTCATAAGCGACGAAATGTTCGTTCCCTCTAATTTGTACCCTCGACTAAATCGATCGTCGCGTTGATTGTCGTTGCTTTCTTCCGTTTTGATAGATGCACCCTTATTATTTTCAACCCCTAGGCACCTATTTTTTTCAAAGTATATTGCTAAAATCTTCCTTTGAATATACATTATTGAATTTTTCACAGAACATATCGTACCTGTAACTACCAATTTCATTAACGCAACGCTCGTCAAACGCGCAGGAATGCAATTGTTCGTTGCACTCGTCGACGTCGATGCACCTCGTTATTCCAGAATCGTTAGAGGGTTTATATCCCGCTGAACAAGTCATACGTGAACTGGATTGCATACTCTTTTGATGATCGGACGGATTGTCGTCGTTTGAAATATGTGGAAGAGGACTCGCCGATGTCTTTGTACATTCGTACGCACCCTCCGTGTTAACACATATCGTGTCGGGATCGTGACAAGAATTGCTCGATTCGATACATTCATCTATGTCTAAAAGAAAATACATATGATATTATCATAGATTATAATTTATTTACTTTTGCAGAGAGAAATTCGACGAAGGTATAATATTGAAAATGTGCTAGCTGTATGACTTTTATAAGTTCCAATCTTTAAAATCTTGAAACTGTTAACCCTTCGAAGTTGACACTAAAATCTCTAATTCTGATACTAATTGTATAAGATTTATTTAATTTATGTTAATTAAAAGACATTAATTAATTTCGAGAAACGAAAATGAAATAAAAAGTAAATAGTATATATATTTTTTCCACTAGAAAAAAATAAATTTTAATATTTCTTTGAATAGTTCTAAGTGAATGTTTACTAAATGTAAACTTATATTTATTTGATACCGTTAATTTGATTCAACTATTATTTTTTATTAAGTAAATAAAAAGTATAAATGTTTACTTAGTACTACTCAAAGAGATACGTATTAAGATTTAGTATTACTTTTTTTCAGTGTGATCTCAGTGTGACAAAAATTCAAATTTTTAAATATATAACATAAAAAATTTAATTGTTTGACATTTTTGGCAGATTTATAATTAAGTGGGTTCAATGGATTCATCTTCAGCTCCAGAATGTTAATTAGCGCAATACGCTTATATAATTTTTATTTTACATTAATTAACTATTGCATATATGAATTATTAAAGAACGCAATCATTTAAGAACTAAATTTATTACTCACATGCATGAAAGTTACAGGGATGAAGCGTTGCATGCAAAATCAAATTGTGGATGCGAGATCATCAAATGCCAAGGTAATTCATGACGTTTTCCGCGATCATTCGATCGATCTTTCAAAATGAAAAAGAATTGCGATCAAGAGATGCAAAATGCATACATTTATTTGGTAGAAAGACCGGAAATTTAAGTTTGAAACATAATAAAAATTTACTTATCGAAAAGCAATGATCATGTCGTTGTTATGTGTATTATAACAATTAAAGATCTAAAAATTTTCGAGATAAAGACCGACGAAAGCTCACCGACGCAAACTCCCAGGCCGATATTGTACGTGAATCCTTTCCCGCATTTTATATCGCATTCGTAAGCACCCTCGGTGTTTCGACATTGCTCGACATCTGCTACACAGCTGTGAATATCTTCCGCGCACTCGTCCACATCTGATTAACAAATAAACAGAGAGGAATACGTAAAGATGTGGCAAGATTTCCCGCGGAAAATTCATCATTTTTTTACCATACACGTGAATTAATCCTTAATACATACAATTGGGCCATTCATCGCTCTGCGCGTTTCTTTTCTTTCAAATACTAAGAGCACAAAGTGTAATTAGTTATATATATTCTTTAAATACACACAACTTTTCAAATATGCTCTGAAGATGTTAAAATATATATATAAACGTTTCTTAAATAATTTTCGTACGCTTGTAAAAATGATGAAAGTTAACCCGGAGTACGAACAATCCATGTGTAGGACTGGGAAAGTCATCATATGCGTACTAAAAAAAAAGATTTAACTTGACAATATCCAAGGAACACACGAAAGTCAACAAAAAATTTAAATGACTCGATCCTAACGTCGGTAGACAGTCCAATTTTTTAACCAAAAAAATCATCATCTTGGCTTTCTCTTGACTTGGTGTGTTCTTTGGGTAAACCAAACAAATATGAATATTAACAATTATTACCTTTGCACAGCTGCAATGATTTGTCGAACTTGAATCCCGCAGGGCAGGATTTCACGCCGGTCATTTCTAGACACGTGTAACTACCCGGCGTATTCACGCAAAACGGTTTATCTGTGGTGCAGGGAGCTGATAAGACGGTACACTCATCGATATCTGCAAAATAAACGTATAATAATAATAATAATAATAATAATTTGGATTTATAACAATGAAAGATGCGCGGATAATTTTAAAATGCGCCTCTTCTTACCTGCGCAGTCGTTTGCCAATGGATGCGATTCGTAGCCCGGAGGGCAAGCTTTGTAGAGTGCATTCTTCGCGAATTTCTCCCTGATGCAAATATACGATCCTATGGTGTTCTGGCAACCTCCACCGGGACACACGCTGCGCTCCAGACACTCATCCACGTCTGGCTCGATGGATCAGCGAAAAGTGACGATCACATGCGAAAATCGAACGCACGATCGCAGAAACAAGCAGCGTAGCGAAATGTACAGAAATCAATCTCGCAGAATAATAAAAAAGAAGATACAAATTCAATAAGCAATTCACATAAGCGAGATACGAGGCATACGAGGCAGAGATAACAATGCTGCAACGAACATGACGATATTGCAGTTGTACACGAGAAACATGAAACATGGAGGGAGTACGTTAAAATTATATTAAGTAACGAGAGTGTGCTTCTGCAGGGTTGAGAAGTTAAATTGTAGCGGCATTGTCGTCACTTTCTTTCGGCAATAATCATTACTTTTTTTTTTTATCTGGAATCACGACGAATTCAATCGGTTTTCTCTGTTCATTCAATAGATAGAATTATTTATGATTTGATAGAGAAACATTTCATTTAAATAGAAATTTGAAACATATTTTACATCTTATACTCGTATCTTAGCTTGTTTTCGGATAGTTACTGTCAATAACTATCTAAAGTACTAAAAATCTGTTGCTATGCTGCATATATGATATAAATTATAAATTTTCTGTGCTGGCAATAAATATTGGAAAGCACTCTTAATAAAAACACATCACCGTTTAAAAATAATATTTAATTAATTTCGAGTAACATTTAAGTCTGTTAAATTACATTATAATATAAATGTTTAATAATTAAAGAGTTTAGTTAAAGAGAATAAAAATATTGATATTATAAGAATTATATAGATTTATTAAAATACAAATTCAATATGAAGAAAAGCTTGTTACATAGAGACTAGTTAGACTTTTAAGCTTTAATAATAATTGTTACATTTAATATTGATTTAATATTATCAAATGATGCGATTTTAAAATCTAATATCTTACTTTATCATTATAGAAAAGCAGCAAATCATTACTTCTTAAATATAGATAATTACGATTACGAGTTACTTTTTATAAAAAGTAATGATAATGATAACGCGTTATTTTTACAAAGTAACGTTCCCAACCCTGTGCTTCTATTGTCGCGTTAATAGATATAATTTATATTTATTAATTAATTAACTGTTATTCCCTTACCTGTGTATGAGAATGCTACATTTTTTTTTAATTATACATACCGTCGCACACCTGATTGGTGGCGTTATAACGATAGCCCGACGGACATAACGGCGATTCGTCATCCTCGTCTTCGTCCGGCATCTTTTTCCTCGGTGACTTCGGGATACACGAACGTGCGTCCTTGGCCAAATCGTATCCTGGATTACAACTGCATACGACAGCCACTCCGTTGTCGGTGCACCGATGCTCGCAGGGGTGAGTTGGTTTGCATCTAAAATTGGATATTTCATTGCATTCCTTTACATTTGCATCATTAACAATAACTTCGCAGACTTGCAAATAAAGCTGACTTTTCATTGTTTCGCAGTATTCGCGATATCGTCACAATAATTAATCCGAATGTCAATCGTGTCGCGAATACACTTTTTCCCCAGCAAACGAGAATGAATTGAAATGAATTGAAATGGATTCAGATGTTCAGAAAGATTGATTCACGAATGTTAAAATGAATTCTTTTCAATCCTGAATGCATTTTTATTCATTTATAGGAATATCTCTATGCCTTTCAATCTAAAAATAATATTAGCTTTTTCTGTGCACATTGTGAATACTGTTCGATTCAAAATGTTGAATAGAAAATACAGTTTTTTCAATCCAATTGCATCCAATTGAATCTAATTGAGTCCAATTGAATCCAATTAAATTAAAAAAAAAAGCTATTCGCTATTTAAAATATCTTAACTTGTAACCATTTTCGTAATTTCGATTCTAACTTTGGCGTTATGTAATTTTACCTCTGTTAATTATAATATATTTTTTGTTAATTTCAAAGAAATGTGTTGACTCTTACTTTGCCCGTTACTTATTATTATTTGTTTTGTTATTATTTTTGTTTTGTATAGAAAGAGTCCTTCAATTTATTAATAATATTTATTAAAATATTTTCGCATTCGGATATAGAAAAAGAATTTCAAT